CAAAAGTTCTTAATGTAATCAGAACAATTTTTTTACGAGAAATTAACGCATGAAAAGATATTCAAAAAACCCGATTTTAGTGGCCACCCTAACCTGCTTGTTTAAAAAAAAATCATAGCTCATGAACCATAAAAGATAAAAACGTTGTGTCTTCAACAAAGTTGCTTTGAATTGAATGTTCTACAACTGTTTAGAACACTGCTTTGGTATATCTCAAATAATAAAAAAGTTTGTATTATTAATTCACCAATTTTATGGACCACCCTAATTTTACGAACAAAACATATGAAGCATGTTTACCTAAGAAACCCTATACCTAAACTGATGGTTTGGGCGCAAACATTTTTGTCTTCCTAAATACGGCTTTGGGACCATTGTGCATTGGTTCTGGCTCTACTATATTCCTTTTTGTGACGTCTTGATTGTCAAGTTTTCTTCGTACAGCTAAAAAACATCTATTTCAACTGTTTTATGCCTATTTGCAACAATTTTGAGGTTTTGGCCAACTTTTGTTCTAAGGGGAACCACTGTGCAATGGCAGGGGGAGGGTGGCAACTCTATCTAAGATGCAGGAAATTGTATGCTTTACTGTTGTGAGATGCACTCGCGCTTAATAGATAGAAACACAATTGATTATGATTTTGAAGATTTCCTGCATAAAGGTGGAGAGCGATGCGAGTAGATGGGTTTAGATGCAAGAGATGAAAAAAGATTTTTCGTAGATTGATTCGCTAGTGTGACATTCTTTGACCATTTAAAATCTAAATTTAAATGTGTCGCACCCCTCTGGCAGGGGTGATATGTCCCACCTTGTAAGTGCTTTTTGCTAGATACTATGTAGATGACATGCATTTTTACTTATCTCTTTTTTTTTTTTTTCCTTTGGTTTGTTTTTTCCGTCGATCTTGTTTTCCGTGCTGAGCACCAATGCTACCGACGTGCCAGGAAGGCAGCTCCCACACCTGGACCCTACCTATCGACCCATCAACTCATGAACCGGGGACCAACGGCTTTACTTCCCATCCGAAGGAAGGCGTGATCAGAGATGTTATGCCTCAGAACATCCCGGCGGCGCCGACTGGGATTGAACCCAGGCCTGCTGGGGTGAGAGGTAATCACGCTTACCACTACACCACCGGCGCCGTTATTTTACTTATCTCATAACAGCAATTTAATTGCAACGGCAGCATAGAAGTTACCAAATCACATGGTGCATGATGAGCCACCCTCAACTTAGAACTATGGATTAGAAACACTAACTTATGATCGAAAAACATTATGTTTTCACACAGTTCACGAAATTGGAAATGGTCGATTCATATTTCAATGTTAGGAATGCTCTTATATTCTACTATGAAAACTGTCACAAATCGTAGGCGCAGTAGGCGCCGCCAGGATTTTCTGAGGCATAAAGTCTCTGATCAGAGAAGTAAAGCCGTTGGTCCCGATCCATGAGTTGATTGGTCATTAGGTAGGGTCCAGGTATGGTAGCTGCATCCCGGCGTCAGTAGCATTGGTACTCAGTACGGAAAAGAAGATCGACGGAAAATAATTCCAAATCTTACATCGAAAAGCACTAAGTTTATTTAAAAAAACAATGTGAGCTGAAATAGTAAATGTATCGAATAGAATAGCATTTAACCTCAAAATATTACCTGGTAGAGCAATACAAAATTGATCAAAGTGTCTATTAAGCGAAAAAGTAGCAAATTAGCAAAATTTACGTGATGTCGTGTAATTTGTAATAATTTTAGTTTTTCGCTTCATGTGCGCGATTTGTTGCATAAAATTACTCTAGATATATAATTACGCTAGATGTTTTCAGATAGTTTTTAAATTACGCTCAAGCTAAAATTCATTATTTTTTGCTGTGCGGTGTACCTCAAGGGAGAAACCTTAGCCCTATGCTACATTGCAGCATTTGTTCATTCACTATGAACACGTATTTTATACACTAGTGATGTAAACATTTGCATGGAAAACACGTGCGCAGAGGACTGTGTTGAGTTACAAAGACTCGTGGATTCTTTCTAGGATTGAAGTCGATATATTTTGCAGATGTGTGGTAAAATGTAGTGCCATTTTATTCTGCAGAAAAAAATTAAACCGATCAATTATAACTATCGTCTACCTAGACAGATCCTTGAACGGTTCAATTAGGTCCATAAAAGTCTCCTTAATAAAGACACAGTTTTAAGCTGTAATATCGAAGGCATACAAGCCGCTTGGATTTATCTTTAGGCTTGCTGTTGGATTCCGTGACCCTCTGTGTTTTGTGCTATTGAACTGCACATACCTACGATCAGTTTTTAAATATTATGTAGTTTTGTGGTGTCCTTACAATAGAGTCTGGGTAGATCACATTAAGGTGATTCCTTGTAGAGTTCAAAAATGGCCGCTACGTAGGCTATACATATACTTCTACTTCGAATTTGCAATTACACAAATCTTGGAAATCAGTGCCCAATTTGATCTGAAATTGCTACTTCATGTACATGCAGCAAACGTAGAGTAACAATTTGAATGTTGCACCTGTCGTAGAAGCTTATATTTGTGCACTTAAGGTTTCGAAGTGGTTCCGGAAATAAGGATGTCACAGCGAATCACCTTAAAGCGATTCATAGAAAATTTTAACGCTTAGCCTTTGGTTATCTGCCATGGGCTGATCAAATGAGTCTGCCGCCGAGCGAGCATTGCTATATGCTATTGCGACTCGAAACTATGGAGAAAAGGAGATCAAATTTGAAAGTGACTTTTGACACCAAGTTTTCAACCGACGAAGTTTATTCTTCAGCTATACTTACAGAGTTCAGCATATACGCTCCTGAATGACCCCTCCAAAGCATCGTATATATGCCCGTGACAGTCGTAATGGACCCAGTCGCATTCTGGGACATTTATCTCCCCATTAAAAAAATTGAAATGTTTTTATTTTTCCAAAAATATTGGGAGTAAAAACATATAAGAAACCCAGCTTTTCTTTAGATTCCTGAGAAAAATTTACATGCACACATATTTGATGCCTCTTTATCAAGAAATTACTTAATCAACCTAAGCTAGCTTCATATAGCCAATGGGGAACTACACAAAATAGATCAAATAAACATTAAGTTGAAAGCAAGCAAAACGCTCGCACTAGAAGCATCAAAAGCATGGAAGAAGATTGTCCAATGACGCTTTGTTTAAAACAAAAATGAAGAGTTTCAGTTTTTATGACCAACATCAGAGTCATTTTCCCTATTCGTTAAATTGAGTGGCCTCCAGCCCATCATGTTTCCAGTCGTATTAAGCATTAAATTCATTGTCGAGGAAGAGTTCCATGGCTCTACTAGGTGAACTTGCCATATGTTTTTGATATCCCTTGCTAACCCCCAATTTCGAAGGATCATCGCACAACATTGACGAACGGAAAGACTTCTCGTGGTGAACGAGCAAATGAGGCTACAGATTCATCAGGTGTGCCCTGTTCAGGTTAACAATAGCAATTTAGGCCGAACAAAAGAGGGAAGTTGACAAGCTATGAAGCGGGACCGAAAAAAAGTTTCGTCGCATGCAACAGTTTAGAGTTGGAATTTTTTTGTATCCTAGCAAAAGCTGAACGGAGGAGAACCGGTCAAAACATGGCGAAGCCTAAAAAGCATAAGCAGCCACAGCAGCAGCACGAACAGCAGCAAGTGGAGCGAAAAGAAAGGAGAAAAACATTTCCATTTGGCCGCCGGAACTACCGCTTTTATAGTCATAGTTTTTCCTCGCTTTTCCTCCGCTTGTGTTTCGCTTGCCTGCTGCCAGATTCGCTTTTTGATTTTATGCTGGCTGTTGTACTGTTGAAACTCTTTTTTTTTCTGGGTTCATGCTATTGTGAGAGCCGAGGATGGGGTGAAGCAACACGTTAGTTGAGCGCTACAAGTGCCCCGAGCTAATGGTCTCTGGCCTGGCCCCACTTCGATGCGATGGCTGTGTGCATATTTATGTGCGGGCTTGTTTCGTTTAGTTGTTCATACCGGGCTGGGAAAGAAGGGGAAAGGGAATTTTCATGTCGGTTGCATAAAACGGTCTCAACAGGTGGATCGGGATATTATAGAGTCATTTGAAGGTTTGCTTGTTGAGTGTTTTTTGTGGGGCTGGTGCAAGTCGGAAATGAGGCACATTTCGGGAGATAATTAGACAGCTTTTGTGTGTTTATTAGTCTTAATTAGAGAGATAATTAGAGCTATTTAAAGAGTTTCATAACAAGGTTTAAAGCTTGCATTTATTTGAATGTCAAACGCCATAACTGATAGTCTTTTGATACTAGTTGTTTTGAATACGCCTATAAACAGCAATAGAAACAACATGAAAAGATCATTCTTTCCAAATAAATCATCATAATCATAACCTTATCCTCATCACAACTTGGTGAAGCTTACTATTTGTTGAACACGTCATGTAAATTATCAAAAAGAATAGAACAAAAGCAGCACCTAAATAGTCAACCACCCCGAGCTGAGCCATGGATTATCATGCCATCGTGTAATGAATTATCCTGTTTTTGTCTGGACACTTTATTAAACGATATTAAATCGTAAGCCAGCAGGTCGATGCGATGCTGGCAACGACACCGCACCGGCCAAACAAAGAAACCGACCCCAAAACTACAAAACCCAACTTATGCCGCCCAGTGCCAGTTTGTGTTTGGCTGGAAAAACATATTCTCCCATGTTTACCACCGAGCACACCGTCGTTGGTCGTCGCTCATATTTAGTTTCATTCTACCACCACTATTAATCATCCCCGAAAAAAAGTCACTCCACCCTCCGCATGTTCCCTGGAGGGACAGAGTCCGACCTTTCATGTGTCTCCGTAACCCACAATCTCGTGTAATAATCATAAATGGATATAAATTATGTTGCGGTGTTTAGCCTCCACTTAAGCAGACGATGATTTATACGAGCGAATTAAAATCCTACCATACCAAATGATTTATGTAATTAACGCATGTACTTCTTTTTTTCCTCAAACAGGGTGCGTCCTCTAGCTTAGTGGTCAAGTTTGCGGACACCGAGAAAGAGAGGCAACTCCGTCGTATGCAGCAAATGGCCGGTCATATGAACCTGCTGTCCCCGTTCGTCTTCAACCAGTTCGGACCGTACGGTGCCTACGCACAACAGCAACAGGCAGCACTGATGGCCGCGGCCACCGCACAAGGAACCTACATCAATCCGATGGCTGCACTTGCAACACAAATACCTCATGCGTTGAACGGTGAGTACCTATAAGATTTGTTACTTGTGTCACGTATAGGGATCAGTTCTTTGAGAGGTTAGGTTATCTTTATTAGCGAGACTTTCAGCCAAAGGCTGGTTCATCTCTTGACGAATATTGAGGAATCCCCTAGTGACAGAGTTTGAAATAGCGGTGGGGAGCCAGAAAGGACCCCCTAGTTATAGAGCTAATGAGGTGGGGTATCCAGAAGGGACCCACTAATTAAGAGGAGTGGACAGTCCAGAAAAGACCTCCCAGTTCTTTGAGAGATGGCGAGAACCTGCTAAATATTCTTGAGGTTTATCAGCTTTCTAAGAAGTTGAAAACCATGATACGCTCATTTAAGGCAACTCTGAGTGGTTTTAGTTCCCTGGGAAACAATCCATTGTGAATTTGGTTGAATATTAAATAAATATTTCAATTAATGGTCTTCTGTGCTGAAATGCTGCAGGATATCACCGTATATCGAGGCTATGCTGACTGTTTAGAACTACAATACCTTCTTGAAATCTTTAGTGATTGGTGTGAACGTAATTTTAAGGTCCTGTGCGTCTCAAAGTGCTGCGTAATTAGTTTCCGCCGAACTAGGACTGCCGTTTTGTTTGATTATAACGTTGCTGGTACTGCAGTTGAACGTGTCGATCAAGACCACGGTGTCATGTTGGATGAAAAGCTCACATACACTCGCCACTTCTCAACTACGATCGACAAAGCAAATCGTCAGCTTGGATTCATGTTCAAGATCTCTAAGGAATTTCGTGATCCTCTGTGTTTTAAAGCAATTGGTACGCTCACTACTGGAATTCACGTGTGTTGTCTGGAATCCCTACCAAGCAGTGTGGAGTGGACGATTCGAAGCTGTTCAACGCAAATTCGTCAGATACGCACTGCGCTATCCTCCTTGGAGTGACCCGCTGAATTTACCACCGTATGCTGACCGCTCTCGTTTATTGGGCTTGGATGCTCTTGCTAAGCAACGAAACATATCGCAGATCGTCTTCGTTGCTGAAGACTTGCTGGCAGAATTTGGTGTTCCTGAGTTACTTGTCAAAATTAATCTGTATGCTCCTGCCCGATCACTCCGTCCGAGAACCTTGCTTCATAAAGAAGTACATGCAACCAACTATGCTGCAAACAGTTCCTTTGTCGTCATGATTCATTAATTCAACGAAGCATCTGACCTATTTGACTTTTACATCAATGCCTCCAGATTTCGTCATCGTTTGCTGCCGGCCAATTTTTAATTTTTAATGAGTGACTACATTTAGATTTAAGTGTTTTATTGAGACTACCAAGTCAGATGGACTTTAATAGTGATAATACATTCTGGAGGAGTGGTTAAATTCTAATTTCAACCTCAGAACTCCAGATTCATAAGATTTGAATCCTCAAACCTCCATTGGTTTTAGAAAACTGGATGGGAGTTCTATGAATAAATTTCAAATCATTTACAATCATACTGTTTGAAAAATTTCATGAGGAATATTAAAAAAAATACATGCAGTTCGTACAAGAAATTATTATCAAAAATCATAAAAATAGTAAGACGATTTCCACAGAAATGCTGTTGAAACTTATCCATGCGTTGATTACTGAGGGCTCCTTATAAAACTGTTTTAAATGTTAATATTGATTAATATTTGTTAGATTATTTAATATTTATTTGGAACTTCTTGGTTCATTCAATATATCCTGAAAGATTTTAAATTTTTTAATTTTTTTTATAAGGAATCGAAGTACCATGATTTTCAATTAGAATTTTGTACTGAAATTCTTTCTAAAATTACTCATAAGGTTCCATTATACTAGCACATTGTTGATCTCAGCTTATTGTCGAAGAACATTGAATCAAGTGGATGACATGACTCTTTCCCAAGTAACACACAAAACATCTTTTTAAATAAGAATTCGAAAGCATGTTCTATAAGTGATATAGAAAACATCCCGAGCTTTGATAGAGCTCTGTTAATGTTTTCTGACTACTTCTCAGATTTTTTCACCCTCCAAGATGATCGTATTTGACTTTGATCTTTATAAATGTGCATCTTACTTTTATAATACCACAACAAAACACGAAAAGATGCTAGATCGGTTTCCATAAAGCAGTTAAAATGATAATTCAGATGCCGCTTCCAATACTTTTCAAAACATCTTCATGACGAACCAAATGCATTTTCTCTAGAATATGATTTTCATGCCATTGACGAAGAACATCATAGATAGTAAGCCTAAGTAAGTCATCTTTCGAAATTAGTCTAGTTAAGAAGGTGCAATCCTATCACGCCAAGAAGCAGTGTTCGAATCCCATGCTAAATTTTTTTTATCGTAGTTTTGCGCCTAAAATTTATTGGTTATTATGATGTTTTCCAGAACATGTTATATGACCATAATGTTAATAGACTACGTTTACAAGCTCCTCCTCTCGCTTGGTTTTCTGCCATGTATGAGAACTTGATGGATAATAAAGCATGTTTTACCAAGACGCAGAGTTGGTCTACTAGAGAAGTTCCAAACCTAGTACGCTGAATACCTGATTTAGAATCCCATGCTAGGTTATGTCTTATTTTTGTTTTGGAAAATTCTTTTTGGCCATTTAATTTGATTGGTTATTGCGATGATTTACAAAACTTGTTATATGACAATTGATTTGTTGTATAACGCTTCGAAACTTGCGCTTCAGTTGTATGAAAAAGTATGAAATGAAGTATTTTCAAATCAAATTGTACACTCATATATGTTTTAAGGCAGTATTTTAAGCACCTTTATGACAAGTTGTGTTGCTTGGGTTATTTCACTTTAATTCTGTAAACATGTATGCGTAATTTATGTACAACTCACGCATCATCCGAGTTCGTTTTTTACGAGTAATCCCTTCACAACAAACAATGTTAGCCGTAGATTAGCTTAAAATGCCAAAAACTAGCTGTAAAAACCTGTATAAGCTTATCTGCAGATTAAATTGTAAGTTGAATTCTCATTATCCTCGCTTAATCTGTCTACTTTTTATGTATTTGTAGTTATTTTTTGTTATAATTTTGGTCTGGTGTCTGAAAACCAAGAAAATTTTCAGAACACCTGTAATGGGTCAATTAAATTTAATCTCTATAATAAAGATACGAGATGAGTCTTTTTCTAATACTATAACATTACACGAGTAAGACCGAGACTTTCTACTAAAATTATTCAATTTATTAGTAAATTATTTCAAAACAGAATATATAAAAGCAAAGTTCTACGAGTCTAAGTTCTAGGTCACTAATCAAATAATTAATTAAGAAGTATTTTTTAGAGTTTAGTTTAAAAAATAATCAGCCTTGAATTCGCTTGAAATACTCAAAGAGACTCCATTGAAATTCTGTTCTGTATTCCTTTGGAATTTTCTCCGGAATTTCCATGAAACTCTCGAATTTGTATGAAACACTCTTGGAACTACTTTGGAATATTTGCTTTAATTGTATTAGAGTTCTTCTCATAATTAGCATGAGAATCGTAGAATTCTCGCGTCACTTTTCAATTGGTCGAATCTCTTCATCGACTCTCTCTTTCGGTAATAACTCGGCTCCAAAAACATGTTCAGCTGTTTTCATCATCATTCATCATAACGTAATATCGCAAATTATCGTGTGTGCCTGCTCAAAACTGTTCGAGATTATCATAAATGATGCTCTGTTCACGTGTTGCAAAAATTATATCGATACAGAACAACACAGCATCCAGCGCGTATGTGGATCTAAAAGCTGCATTTGACACGGTGGACCATAATATCCTACTTGCCAAGCTGGAGATACTTGGCGTCAACGGCTGTGGATTGGTTCAGATCTTACCAGCCAAGTTATTAACGGAAGAGAGAGTCGGTGAAACGAATCGATCAATGTAGATTGGTCTATTTTAAAAGTGACGCGAGTATTCTCGTAAGCTTTCCAAAGTATTATTCAAATATATCCATGTTTTTATTTTATTTTATTTATTTATTTATTCATCTGACTTTCTGTCGTCTTAATGAATGTGATGGGGAAAAGCCAATTTAACTGGCGTAAAAACCTCATATCTTTTCACAATACAGTACAAACATTACAAAACAAGCACATCCGTGAACATAGCATAAAGTTATCATAGCTTCAAATATTAACTGTAGTCAAAACATAAAAACTTAGACTTCAATCAGCTTCATTGGACATCCATCTTCCGAAGCAATCCTCGTTGGTAGTAGTGGATAGAGAAAAAGAAGATACAGGTAAGGCGAACCAGCCAATCAGAATCAGGTTACAATTGAGGAGCAATGGAATATTACTCACCTTTAACAGTAACGAATCTCACTCGATCCATTAATGCAATTCAGTCAGTGTACGCTTGTATGTTGCCACAGTAGAGCTGAAGTCGAACAGGATGTAGATTTTGTTGAACCTAGCCGACCTGAAGCGGACAGGGTCATGAAGGTCGTACAAGGAGTTCCGGGGCTCAAGCAGCAAAAAGTTTCGTTGGTGAAGGAATCGTTCAGGAACGTAAAGATTAAGTTGACTTAGTATCTCCGGTACGTCCGTTTCTCCTGTGAGAATTTTAGCAACAAACACCGCTTGGGCATCATTCCGTCTCTGCTCAAGTGTCTGTAGTCCCAATAATCTGCATCGATCTCCATATTGTAGTAAGTTCAACGGATCTCGCCACAGAAAGCGTCGTAGGTCATATCTCACAAATTTTCTCTGAATTGCTTCGATCCTACTAGCACCATACTACAGAGTTGGACTATAGAATCGATCGCATCAGAACGCAGCACAGAGATCGGAGGCAGAGAGGATCGGTAAATTCGCAGGATATTTTGAACATAAATCCCAGCTGTCAGTTGGTTCTACAGATAATATCGTTATAGTGCAATCGGAAGGTCACGAACTTGAAGAACACGCTCAAGAGACTGACCATTAATTGAATAATCGTATGTAATCGGGTTGAGCTTGCGATGAAACGATATAATGATAAATTTGTGGATGCTCAACGTCAGCATG